AGCTGCTCAACGAAGTTATGTGCTTTGTGGGCGACAACGACGGCGAGGCTTGAACCAGCATAGGAGTCCTTCGCAAGGGCAGGGACAAGTCCAAGCTTCTTCGCCTTCCTTTCGGCCCATGCCAAGGTAACGATGAGCGGCGCAAGAGCAGCTGGGACGAGCACGGCGAACATGCCGTCTGCGGAACAGCGAAAGTCAGTACCCCGCACACCCAGGGCGAGAAGACTGTAGACCCACATCCCCAACGCCATCCTGAGCGGAGGTAAACCTGCGAAGCGACATTGCTGCCAATGAAGGCGTTGATGATGAACGGTGCCGAGGTCAAACCGTTCACGAGACCACGCCATTTAAGCGTGGTGATATCAGCAACGATGACAGAGGTCAGGAGTTGCAAGCCGCTGTAACAGCACGTCAACAACGTGAGGGGTCCTCAGAGAGCCTGCACGCACGTATAACCACTGCATATGCGGAGTCAGAACGCTCAGAACCAGTCGGCATGAGTGCAGAGACGTACAGAGCATAGAGGATAATGCCGGCTGCCAGCGCGCCGAAGGTCTTAGCCGACGCAATGATGATGTAACCTGATGAGTAGAGGAGTGAGATGCGTAGAGTATGAAAAGGATAACACACGTACCGAGGACATAGGACGTCACTGCGTCGTGTACCAGATTAGATATGCGACGCAAGAGGTGAAAGTTCAATTTAAAAAAACTCACAGACAACCATGTACGCCTGTGAACGAGACCGGACATCGGCGAACTTGGCAATGACAGGCTTCCCAACAGCAACTGAGGACGGGTCAGATCGCGCGAGAGAAGCCAACAGAGTGTATGCGCACTAATGGTTGACTGCGCTACCTGGATGGTTGAAATGAGGGAGTGCTTGTCCAAATCTGACGCGGCAAACGCAAGATAGTTGTATGTTGTTTGGCCGTCAAGCGAGTAAATGTACGACGCGAGTCCAAGTCTTGGCGCGGCAACAACGCGTCTGGTGAGCGGTGAAAGGAAGCGCTTGCAGGGGGAAGAACACACCCGATGAAGAGGAACCACTTAGAGTACTTGCCGTACACTTGCTCCGCCGCCTCGACCCGCTTTACACCAATGTGTGCGTCCAATCCCTCTTGGAGCTCTCCCGCGGTCCTAGGATCGAGCTTGGGGGCCGCGTCCTCCGAGACGTTGTCGCCATTGGAGTGGGCGCGTTTCTCGTCGAAGCTGGGCATCGGGACCGTGCCAGGGGCGAAAGAGAGCCGCGGCCTGATGAGAGGGAGGAGCAACGGGGGCGACGGGGACGCATGCCATGGTGGCCGAGTTGATATACCCCTTCTCCGTCGCAGAGTCGCAGAGAGAGCGGGTCTAGTGTCAAGGAGGAGACATCTTATCTGATAGGCGAACAGTGTTATCTGATAATCATGACCTGGCCTGGCCCCTGTTCCTTGGCGCTCTCAGGCATTGTCCCAGCAGGTCCCAGCGCGAGAACCGCCTGCGACTCAAAGGGTACCCAGGTACCTGCCTGCGCAGAAATTTGCAATTTGCATCTGACCGTGCTTGGCAGTCAACCAGTCAATCCTTACCCGGCTGTCGGTAACTGGTCGGCCTCTTCCTTTTGGCGGCACATGAACTGGACCACACATGTCATCCATAGTTGAAACTCATCGTTGTATTGCTTACTCCCCGAAATTCCCATCGATCGACAGAAACAGCACGGGTGACTTTAGTCCACGCGTGAAGCTCTTCCGACCTCTAAACTTCTAGTATGCAACAGCCTTCTCTTCCTGCAACGGACACCCGACAAACGAAGGATCTGCTCGAGTATCTCAGCTGGGTTCATGGAGGTCGTTCTGCCGATGTCTTCGTATCGAAAGTCTCCAGAAAGAGGAGGCCCCCGCAATCAGTAGTTATGGTTTGGTGCTGAAAGCAGACACGTTACATACAGGATACTCGTACAGACAACCCATTCCAAAGAGCATCTCGAAGTGAGCGAGACGTTGTCACCAGAACCCCCAATCGTCCTCGTATCCGTCCAGGTCATCCAGGTCGTTCTCTGGCAGTTCGTCATCCAACATGTGCGGAATCCATGGGAAGATGTCCATCATCTCACCATCGTCGAATGAGGAATCGTCGTCGTCGTCGAGGTCGATGACGTCCAAGACCTCGTCCGAGTAGCATGCCGCCTGTTCGTGTTCATCCCACACCACGTCCGGTACGATCTCCTCAACCATCCCGACCACCTCCTCCGTGACGTTGACGCAATTTGTGAGCCGGAGCCGCTGCAGCGGGATCCCATTCTCGCAGCGGAGCATGAGCCAGTCGAGCATCGACTCGAGGAAGTCCACCGTGCCCTCGCTGTATTCGTGGTCGTGCAACCGGCACGGGAAGCGCATCTGCACCATCGAGATCTCCGCGAGGTGCGGCACCGCCGGCGTCCAGTCCCCCTCCTCAAGCTCCTCCCCACCGCCCACCCCCTCTTCACCCCCTCTGGCGAGTGTGAGCGCGTCGAAGAACTGCTTGCCCGGGTGCCCGGTGAGCGCGAGCGAGCGCAGCGCGGGCGCGCGCTCGAACAGCGTCCGCCACTCCCAGCTGCCGTACGTCCACAGCGCCTCGACGTGCTCCACCGCGCGCAGGAACGGCGCGTGCCCAGTGAGCGCCCCGAGCGCGCGCGAGTGCCCGTACGCGTCCACGCAGAGCTCCGCGTCCCATTGTTCCGTGTCGGCGTCGGCTCCAATCGAGCGTCCGAACGCCCACTCGCCGAATAGTGGGTCCGCGTGGTACTTGAGGTCCTCGAGGCGTACGCAGGGATGCCCCGCCGGCGCGGCAGCACGCGAGCCTTTGACGAGGAGCTGCCGGGAATAGATCGGGGCGAAGACGACGCGGCGGAGCGGAGCGCCACGTGCGACTTGGTTGCCGAAGATGCGCGCGAGGTCCTCGGTGCCGCGCTCGCCGCGGGCGGTGACGGAAAGGCGGGCGTCGGAGGGGAAAGTAAGATGTTGGAGGAGGTTGGCGCAGTCGAGAGCATCGGCATTCAGTGTAAGGGACTGGAGACAGGGAAGATCGACTGGGGACCGCCACGTATCAGGGACGGAGAGCTCTTCGTCAGGAAGACGAGGAATGGATTTGTTGAGTTCAAGGGATCGGAGACATGTGAGGGTTTCGAGGGTCTGGAGGAGTTGGGAGAAAGAGCCGAGACAGAAGGAGCTGTCGGATCGGCTGATGACCGTGAGATTGGTGAGGGTAGGGCAGAAGAGTGGGTTGGTCCACGCGATAGACAGCCACTTGATCTTGAGCCTCCGAAGATGTGGCGTCTCGCTGGAAAAGAGAGTTGGGAGGACTCCTCCGTCCGAGAGTGGAAAGTGACCGAATTCCGCGGAGCAAGAATCTGATAGTGACAATGACTCCAGGAGATCTGCGGGCTCAGACCATTTCGTCGCCATGATTTGCAGAGAGCGTGCCGGCCCTAGGAGTTGGATCTCCTTCAATCGACTTGACTCAACCATGATCTTCTCCAAAAATCCAAGGCGACTGTCGCGCGGGGCAATAGCGGCCGAGACCCACAGCGGGGCTTTCTTTGAGCGCGAGAACATTGTTTCTATGATCTCGGTCTTGCGAGTGAAGACGATTCGGCTCCAAAGGCGTGGTGTGTTCAGTGCGACATTACGCCAGACTCGACACACGTGTCCGAGAGTGATCCACTTGTACACCGGGCTGGTCGAGTTTGTCTTTCTTTCGTTGTAGCAGTCGGCGGCGATATGCGTGAATATTTCCGACAAAAGCTCGGGAGGGAGCTTGACTGCTGGAGATAGAGCGTTGTAGCGCGTTTGGAGCGTGGATATGGCGCTTGCATGGATGTGGATTTCTGCTTCGATCGTTTTGCGTGCCACAGCGGCCGCGTCCAGCTCGTAGTCGGGTTTGGCCATGAAGTATTAGCCACCTATATAGTAACGATGCATCAGCACGACGTCCAGAAGTCCCGGAAGGACTAAGCCACAGCTGCACATGAGTCAACGATGGCAGGCACTGCACGGACTACCGCAGCAAGACGTTTCACTGGCCGTCCATACATTGCCAGCACCTATGTGCAGCAGCATCTTATCGTGTTATGGACTTACTTCACTGCTGTAGATTGCCGCTCTGTGATATGAGAAAGTACAGCACTGGACAATAGGAGCTGTTGACGATTGGCGGGATAAGTCTCTTGCGCCAGCGCCACGCTATCACGAGGAAGCAGCACCTAGATACTGTCAGCAACCAGGTCACTGCGGCGTGCGGCGAAACGCTTGCGCGTACCTGTGAGGTTTGAAATTTGGAGCCTGTAGGGACCACTAGCTGGTGGAGGTGAAGAAGAACGTTTGGGCGTTTGGCAAGCCGCAACAGTGGCACGGTTGCCGTCGCGGCAGGACACAGACGCCGATCGGCCCGACGTTGCACGGAATCAGAAGTCATCGAACATCGATGGTAGAATCCCTCCAGAGCGACTTCGAGAAGTTCCTCCCACAAGTTCACTCAAAATATTGCGGGGCACGCGTTACGCCACATGGGTGGGCTCCATTTTGTGGCAATGCTGGCGGCTTTACCTGCTGAATTACTATAGTATTACAATTATGCGGTGGGACGTCAACCGGTCTTCATTTCACTATCTCTCGGTTGAAGTCTTGCTCCACTCAACTCCTCGTGCTCTATAGCCCATTATTCGCGCTGTAGACGCAGCATTTCGCAAGGGATGGTCAGGCGATCGCTGTGCGATCGCCGTCTGGGTCAGGTGGAAGTTCTCTCTCTATTGTCCCTATGTCTGTGGAGTTCTCTTCATGAGTTTCGCCCCTAAAGCAGGTAGCGTGACGTGCTGCTTTCATTTTCAGGGTCCTCAGAGCAGATGGTGCAGGATGACGTCGACGGTTATGTAAGCGATTTCATGCCCTTAGCCTGCGACGCCCCAGGACGCCCCTCGCCCTTGGGCTTTGCACTCATCTCTCCATCCATCACACGCCCAGCGCACGCCCATCGTTGGGAATGCCTTCGGAGAGCGCCGCGCACTGGTACGTCCTGTGTGTCCCTCAGCCTCTCAGGTTGCCCCGCTTAAGCGGCCTTCCCGTCCACCCTCCAAGATCCTTTCACGACCCCGGCATGGACGGCTGACTGACCAGACCGACGATGTTGATGAGCGGCGACGGCCACCTGCGCCCCTCCTCCGCCTGGACCCTCAATGGCGAGTCGCGACCACCTCCGCAAGCCTGTGCGCGCTGATCCCGCCGACCGTCCAGCACTACCTGCCCTCGACTGAGTCGCTCGAGGCCACGCTGTCGATGGTGACGGTGGCACCGCGGCACCACAACGGGCACCACAATGGGAACCAGGCCCAGCACACGAATGCGAACGGCGCCGCGCCGCGGACCCCGACGAAGGCCAAGTCGCCGTCGCCACGGCGGGAGAGTGGGGACCTACCACGGATGGGGAGTGGCGGCGGCAGCGGCGCGCAGAGCGACCTCGACCTCGGGCATGGTCCCGGATGTGGGCGCGGGGTGGGCTTGGAGAACGAGGGCGCGAGCGGGCACGGGCACGGGCACAGGAGCATGGGGAACCTGAGGGAGGTGGAGCCTGCGAGCGCGGCGGAGGTCGCAACGCTCGTCGAGTTGAGCTTCGCCGAGAATGTGCTCTGGGCGCTGTGCGAGACGGACGTGAGTGGCCCTTTGTCTTCTTTCCTCCCTCCCCCGTCTCTTTCTGTGCTCTCGAGAACGCACGCGAGGACTGACGCTGACCACCCCCCTCCCCCCTCGACGCTGCTGCGCACGTACCAGACGCACCTTTCATCCTCGCCCGTTCGACCCCGCTTGACACCCCTGGTCGGAGGTTCTGACGGAGAAGACCAAGGCGCGCGTCGAGATGACGGCCGAAGAGCTCGATCTTGAGGACAATTGCTAAGTCGTAGCGCAGTCTCTGAAGGGGTGCATAGACGAGATCGACCTGGGTCTGCAGTACCACCACGAGTTCCTCACCGAGATCATCATACACGATGAAGCGACCACGCTCCGGCCAGCAGAGGACCGAGGTGCTCCACTCCACGGAAGTCCTTGCAGCCCTCGGCCTGAAGGCGACAATGGAATCAATTGACAATCGCGCCGACCTCAAGACGTGGATGGACTGATCTACGTGTACGCGCGCGCTGGGCAGAACTCGCGCGTGCGTCGCAGAAACGGGCCCGAGGAGGACGGTCTCGTGAGTCTTCTCGTTCTGGCTCGAAACGAACGCTGACGTGCCGCGGCGTGAACGGCTGCCCCCGATCGCCGTGCTGCAGCAGCACCTCGGGGCGAGCCCATCGGGACCCGCGCTGGTGCACCTCCCGAAAGCGTGCCCGACGTTTGGAATCGACCCAGCGGTGTATGTCGCGGACATGGGTGATCTGCTTCATTTCGAGGGAGTGGTCTGGGTCGCGCGAGTTCACGCGACACTGTCCCGAGATGTCCGGACGCCGGCCCCTCGGGTCCTGTTGTGCTCACCGTCTCTGACAGTGAGCACACCTCCCCCATTGTTTCACAGCCCACTTTTTGAATATGCTTAGTGATTAGAATATATTTGTTAGTGAACTACGTATACGCAGTGGTGCTGCCAAGTAATAGTGGGGCCACGGTAGCTCCCTGCGGCCCTGGGACGAGGTGACGCGAAGGCGGAGTAGGGCGATATGAAGGGAGGAGAAGAGCGATACAAACGGCGATGCAGGAGGAGGAGGGCGGCGCGGAGGAGGGCGGCCTCGACACCACTCGTGACTCGTCCACAGGGAGTGGAAAGGTGTACCGTGTGCCGGCGGTGGTGACGTTCCCGCGCCTCCGCGAGCTCACCCTCGTCGACGCGGCGCCGGAGTTTCTCCGCCTTGAGGACGCGGTGGGGGTGTCGCTCACCCCAGTCGAGCGGGACTCAAGGAGGAGGAGGAGAACGATGCGGCCGAACCAACATGTTCGCAAACAAAACGACACTCGCATACTTTTACCTCACGGATCTAACTCCACGCGCAATGTTGTCTATATAGAAATTGTCAAGTGAATACTATTGCATCATTCATTTTTCATTCGCATCAAGAGACGCCGTGCGAAGCACGGCGACACTTGTCCTAAACACAATATCACTGCGCAAGAACGCGGCGGCCCGCGGACCCCTATTTGTACAGTCAGGAGAAGCGGAATTGTCACTACAGCGGTGCCACCAACGTTGTGATGAAGAAACAGAATCGAAGTGAGGCAGTACATAGTGAAAGTACGGATGCTGTTAGAACTTGTCGTCAAATTGGGCGGGAATATAGAACGTAAGTACGCCTCCAGCATCGGCAATACTCCCAATGTAGACATAGAGTATCATGCAATGTCCGGAGCATATACCTGGTTCAGAAAAGTAGGTTAGCTGAAAGGGCTTATGATGTTAGAGCGGGGAGAAACATGTCGATACTGACAGGCAATAGTAGTCGTCGAGACTACATGACTGTTCAGGAACCTTGAAAGTGCCTTGTGAGATACGAGGACACCATGCAGTTGCTTCGGGTCCTTCTCTTCTTCACTCTGAGCCTGTGAAGCCTGCGATCCCTGTCCTTGCCCCGCAGGATCTCGTGCTATGACAAATCATATGAGACACAGTTCGAACATGCATTGCATGGCCTTACTCATGGGAGGGTTAGACAAGCCGGTCCATGCAATCTCGACGCGAGCATTATCTGTGCTGACGGAGAGTTGAAGGTCGCCGGAATGATTGGCACGAAATGAGATGCCGTCGTTAGCGAGAGGCTTTAGACGGTCAATGACTGCGCGTAGCTTTGCTAGAGGTGGCAGAAGTATGTGTACCTATAAGCTTCGTCAGACCAACAGAGCTACGGGTGGTAAAGATATCCTGACATCGGGCTCAGGGCACATCGGCTCCCGAAGACGTTCTATTTCGGCGTGTTTCGCCACGTCGATAACGAGCTGTTGCACGATAGTCATGGTTTTGCCCAGAGCGTTCGTGCTTGTGATATCGAGCGCAAGCACAGACTCCCTGTCACGGTTCTTGGCCAATCTGGCGCAGAGTGTTGTCAGTAAAACACCGCGACGAGTTGACACACGCACTTCATCACCACCTTGGTGTCCCTACCCGAGAACAGGTTCTTCGACTCTTGCCCTGGTCCTGCAGCTGAGCGAAGAGCCGCTAGCAGAGCCTCTGAAGACAGGGTGATCACAATCTCATTGCTGGAATTGGACTGGACGCGGTAATCCGTGAACAGTGACGAGGCTTTGATCTGTCTGATGACAGTGAGCGCACACGCATATACACAGTAATGAACATACTGACGACCAGACCTGGATGCCTCCTTCGTTGGCATCACCATTACAGATGACCCGAATTTCCTGTTCACAGAGTTTGATGGTGCATCGTTTCTGCAACTTCTCTACAGACTGGATGATTTCTAGCATGTACGTCAGAAAGGTTCCGAAATCGGGTTGGCGAGACACCTACTGATGAAGGTTTCGATGTTCGTGATATTTGTACGGAATCGCATACCTCGAGATGACGGTACGCGTCCAAGCCGCAGTAGCGCCGGGACGCATCCATGTCTCTGACGGGAGATCTACGACGCGTCGAGTTATGCTCACGTGTTTGATGTCACACCGGCGGCGGACTCGGGAGAACGGCGGCGGAGGCAGAGCAGGGCAGGGTTATTTTTCACTTAATTCTGTTGCATCTGCAGCAAACCCGCAGCTTACACTTGCAGACAAGCTCGCGCTCGAATCTTCGACTGAGGCTATCCTTGTTTGATTTATACCATATCAATTGACAGGAAGCAAATATATATGCGCTCGGCATTATATCTACGACACGGATGTGGGCACCAACGATGCCGACAATGACACGGAGATTCGTCGTCGGAGAACCACGATTTTGCTCGTGGTTGTCGGTTCCTCATGATCACTAGTCTCCATGGAGAACGCTCGGGCCACGGGTATGGAACGTACGTGCCGGGGAACGAGTTCGATGCCGTGTCTGTGGCTTCACCCAAAACCTCTCGAGGTGCCAAGCCTTGCATGTGGTTGGGGTAAACATGGAAAGACGCCCAGAGGTGTAATATCTATGACTGGAACTTGCGCATCGTTTGAATCTCGTCCAGTAGAGGCTGAAGCTTGTCATCGTCGATCTTGACAAGACTAGGAAAACCGGAGAGCAAGGGTGCAAGTATGGTGAGAGGGGTGGTTGGAAGCAAAGGCAGTGGCACGCACCTAGGAACAATACTCTTCGCCTCTTCAGCAGTAACCGGGCACAGGTTTGCGATTTGAGCAATCTCAAACTGAGTCAACGCAGACTCTCTTCGAAGAGTCCTGTCGAAAGGGGAGATGGTCGCATGAAGTGGGGGCGCGATGGGAGAAATGAGACTCACTCTCGAATAGCCGCTGCAGCCTCCGGTTTGTCGAACTTGGCGAACGTCTTCACATAGTCCAGAGTCTTGTTGTACACCCTGAACACAACGAATTAAGTGGTTACTCTACATAAAGTCCATGAGGACGTACGAAGTATCTGGAGCCGCCTTGTCTCCCGGTCTATGTTCAAGCAGGTACCGCACCTCAGAAATGAGCAAACAACCCGCATTGTTGAACTCTACGAAGCGGAAATGATTAGTTTTTCATATAGGAACGCAACAAAGTCGCCAACGCACCTGAACCAAGCCTCAGAGTCGAGGCATCCTCTTCTTCGTACGCGACACGATGTCCTCGGACGGTCATGGTGGCGGAGACGAGACGGTGTTTGCACGTGTTGTACAAGACCTTCTGATTCTAACTGAAAGAGTAGGCGCTCACGACAACTGGCTGCGATTGTGGTCCTGGAACACCGTTGGGTCTGAGCACGTCGGTGAGCGTCGCCGTGGCCCATCGCTATCTGTTCTCGTCGTCGTCGACATTCTGTTCTCTCTTGATCCCACCCTCGGATACAAGAGATCTGCTTTCGCTCTCGGACCGCACCACCTCCTTCCGGCCAGGCTGCTACATACTCCTAGCTGACAAATCTGGCTCCAACGGAACGCCCCCGCCGCCATCCCACCCCCGATCCGGCCCCGTTTCCACCCTCCAGCGCCAGTCCGCTCTCTGCTGGCCGCACCGTCCAGTCGACCGCACTCAGCTTCACTGCCGCCGGCCTCCGTTCGAACGCCCTCTCCTCCGTTGCTGCTCTGGACTTTGACGACGACGAAGACTACGAGATGGTGCAGCAGTATGGCGCCGTCCAGGGCCATGCGGACCGTGACGCCGCACACGACACGACCGACGATTCGAGGACGTCTGGAGAGGCGGATGCGCTGCTAGGGGCGAACGCAACAGCGAGACGGCCGAAGAGGGAGGGTCGTGCGACGTTGACCAGCTCAACGAGCAATCTGGCGAACACAATCATTGGAAGTGGTGAGTGTCACATCCCATGCATGTTGGCCCATTGTGCTGAACGCTCCGGGTTTGTAACAGGCATGCTCACGTTCCCTTTGGTAAGTCGTGCTTTGCTGCTTCCCTTCCATCCCATTTCTTCCGTCCAAGCTGTCTCAGCACTGCATTTTCCGTTTCCAAGTCGTATTCAGCCGGATGTCTAACCAAGCTTTCAGGCTATGGCTTCTGCTGGTATCATACCAGGGATCATCACCTGCGTGTTCTCCGGCGGTATGGCGGCCTTTGGCCTTTACCTGCTGTCATTATGTGCTGTCAAAGCTCCACATAGACGAGCCTCGTTCTTTGCCGTCGCCGAATTAACGTTCCCGAAGGCTGCTGTCTTCTTTGATGCTGCGATTGCTATCAAGTGCTTTGGTGTATCCATTAGGTGCGTTGTGCTTTTTTTTGCGCATTAACCTTTACCAATGTTGTAAAAGCTATCTTATAATCATCAAGTCTCTGCTGCCTAATGTTGTTCAAGCACTATACCACGATCTTAGCCCTCAAACGACTCCACCTGCATGGATGCTGTCGGGGCAGAACTGGATAACCCTCATCATGATACCGCTAGTCCCTTTGACTTTCCTTCGCAAGCTCGATAGTCTTAGACATACAAGCTACATCGCGCTGTTCTCTGTGGGTAAGTGCATTGGGAATATTCAGAGGACTGCGCCAGGTTCTCATAGTATTTGCAGCGTATCTCGTGGTTATTGTTGTCGTATGCTACTTTTTCCCCGTCGAAGGGATGGAACAACCAGGCGAAATCAACCTCATCAAGTTCACACCTAGCTTCGTTTCCAATTTCCCGGTGCAAGTCTTCGCATACACCTGCGCCCAGAACGTAAGTAATTGGAGTTGTCTCTTCCGCACCATCTGACCAATTCCTCTAGCTCTTCCCGATCTTTAACGAGATCAAGGCAAACACGCAGCCGCGCATGAATATTGTCATCGGAACATCTATTGGCTCAGCGGCGTTGATATACGAGGTCATTGCTGTGTCCGGCTACCTGACATTCGGTTCCAAGGTACGTTTACAACTTGTGTCAGACTTTGTCGTGACTGATTTAGATACGTTGTCAAGGTTGGACCAAATATCATCGCCATGTACCCCTCTACTTCGCTGTTCATTGCGATTGGGCAGTTAGCTATTGCTATCATGGTGATGTTCTCGTATCCACTTCAAGTGCATCCGTGTCGCAACTGCCTGGACAAAGTCTTCAACGCTGGTCAGACGAGCAAGCCAACTGCGGATGACGAAGAATCGGAAGACGAGCATCATACCAGCCATGACATGTCACCTTTAAAGCACGCGCTGCTGACGCTTGCCATCGTGGCAAGCGGTTTCACCATCGCTTACTTCGTAGACGATCTGAAGCTTGGTCGGTGTTACTCACTCTTCTAACGATTGATGGCTAACGTATTGCCTACGTGGCGTTACGTCTTGCACAGTGCTCTCCTTCGTGGGTTCCACCGGATCTACCACAATATCATTCATCCTCCCCGGCCTGTTCTACTGGAAGGTACGCGAGGTGGAATAAGCGTCGGGATTCTCAGCGCTGATGGCTCCCTTCACAGCTTTCGCGCGATGATACCAGCGTGAGTAAGACGCTGTCACGA